TGTTTCTCGTTCTACGTTTTACTATTGAAAATTTGAAAGTGGCTAGCTTTCCCAAAAGTTTTGAACCTTTCTCGTTGGCATACCACATATACTAAACAGCATTAAGGATGCGGCCAAATGGTTTAGGAAGAAACACATACAGTAACCACTATACCAACTTTTCTTAATCTTAGCAAACAAAAAAGAGATCCTTTTTACAAGGATTACAATGAGATTGTCCTTTCTTAGCTAAAATAAATTAAAATTAAATATTTAACATTAAATTGTCACTCAAATTTCTCATGTGTATATTTTAAATGAAGATGCTTTTTCTTCTTCCATTGCTAATTAAAAAAAATTACATCTAAACAACCATAGGGTGTCTGTCCACTGTTAATTAATTTAATACAGAGAAGAAAAGGAAAGCCCTTAGTTAAAGAATACATGCCAGTATAGAGAAGAGAAGCCAAAATGCTAGGTGTCAAAATTGTGTTAAATCACGCATGGTGTGAGGAAAGAGACATGTGCTGCTTCTTCCAGGTTTCCAACTTTATAAACAGCCAGTAATACTAAAGCCCAGCTACTTCTCTCCCAAAAGCAACACAACCAATCTGAGCAAAAGCCTTTTCTGACCCAAAAGAACCAAAAAAAAAAGCTGAGCAGAAGCCAACCTCCTTTCATACAGAGAAGGAAAAAAGGGCTTCTTTCCTGAGAGATCAGTTGAGTTGTTTGCTTTCCTGTGGTTTGGGAAGAAGAAGTCTTCTGGTCTTCTCAAGAGCCAAATTACTGGTGTATAAATTAAAGCAAAGGTATGTCTGCATATACACAAGCTCATTAATTCTCTCTCTCTCTCTCTCTCTCTCTCTCTCTCATATATATATAGCTAGCTAGTTACCTTCATGAAGAGGTTCATGTTCTTTGGGACTGGAAATTGGTTCAAAGAGCTTAGAAACTTTCCCTTTTGGAAAAGATAAGATTTCTTAGTTATTCTTAGTTATTATGTTTATACAAGTCCGCACAAATCCAACTTCTTTTTGTTACAAAGTTTTCTTTTCTCTTTTGGGTTTGTAATCACCAAAGGTTTTGCTCTCATTTCTCTGATTTTTGTGTTCTGGTAATTCAATCAACCAAAAAGAAAAAGAAAATACAAAAACAAATGAAAGGGTGCAAGCAAACAGACAAAACTGGAGTGTGAAAATAAAGTACACTTGAGAAGCTCTCATCTAACCATTCTTAATCATTTTCTTTTCGAAAGAAAGAATTGCGGTGAGCTACAAGGGGAATTTCTCCCACACACGAAGGTATTATGGAGATTCGAATACGAGATCATTAATTTACAAATCAAAGCCATTTTTCACCGGAATAGATCTCGTTGGCGACATAATAAAATCTTAATATATAATTTTTTTTTAAAGAATCCTAATATATTTATTTTTAGCAGAAAGAATTTAGGTGAGTCCAATAATGGAATTTTTTTTTTCTGATAAAGAATAATATTATTTCCTTTTTGTGCGTTATGAAAATGTTGTTTTACTAGGCAAGATCTCTCAAACCTTGTGCAAGGATCATTGAAGATGTGACGACCAGGGACTTAACTGTATCTCTAAGTTTTTGAACCTATTTATTTATTTATTATTATTTTCCCAAATAAGTCCAAAAACTATTTTCCCCTCACCATATTGAATAAAATATTATAAGACATTGCTTCGATATGAATGTGACCCAGCTTAGTGGTTATGATCTACTGGCTGCTGCTCAGTGATGACTCATCATGTTCATGGACCACTCTGAAATTATTTAGTGCATTTTTTCTGTTGTTAGTGTCGACCTGAAAAGGGATGAGGGGGATTAATTTAGAGTCCGTTGGGAGATAATTTTTCTGAAAAATAACATATATAATTAGTATGCCCGGTAGGTGAGAGACAATTTTCATCTTTCTTCTTTTTCGTATTGAAAAAATTGGCATTCACAAAATTAGAACTTAGAATCTCCTCTAATAAAGTGGAGACTAATATCTCGAGACTAAGAAAAAAGGTGAAAACTAAATGCGATAACCATTTATAAAAATCGTTGCTGAAATAGGAAATTATAGGGAATCAGTACAACTCCTCAATTCAATTCCTCCTCACTAATCATGGATTAGTTTGGGGGAGTGTCCTCTCATGATTTTGTCGCGTATAAAACCGAAAATATATTTGAAGACATTATTTTCAAGTGCGATGTAAGGACGACCCCAAAAAAGAAAGATTCATTTCTTATCTCTAGCTGCATTATGAATTTAGGGATTTTGAATATTCTGGTCTCACATTATATCATGCATATATGTCGGTGTCTGCTACATTTCTTTATTATTGTCCGACCGAAAAAAGAAGTCTGCATTATTGTCACATGGATGGATGCCACCTAAAGTTTGGGGTGACCTTGTACCATTAGTAAAGTTTGGTACCCCAAATGGGGTGGGATCACCAATTTCGCTTTGCACCAAAGAAGCTTTGGTAATTATTTGGACAGTCCAAAATATGAGATTTTTATGGGAGAGAGAAAATCCTATTCCCGTGCTCACATGTCTTTTTTGTTTTGTTTTTAATATACAAACGATACTGAGAAAGAAAAAAATTGAACCTAAATTTCGGATACAAGGGTAAATATTTTTAACCATTTGACCCAATTCAAATTAATTGAAACAATATAACATGTGGTTGTGAAAATAGGTTCCTTTTTATTTATTTTTCAGAATTAAATTAAAATTTTAATTCGAAATTAAATAAAATGTTAACAATTATTGAAAGAAGTTGAATTTTTTCGGTGTAGATTTAAAGTTTCTAACTAAATAATATAAGTAACTGTAAAATACGAGGTATAATATGTATGTATATTATTTGGTAAATTTTTTAAAAATATACAGTGAAAAATTTCGACATTTTATAAAACTTATAATTCTTTATTAATTTTTTTTTTTGTAGGTTCTTTTTTTCAATAGTACATTAAAAAAATCATAAAATATGCAAAAATATACGTATATACGTTCACTAGTATATTCCCACCACATTCCACTAGATTATTTGGATAGAGAATGTTGTGAGATAATAGGAAATCACACATTTTTGTGTGGCCCCGTGTAATAATTTTGGTCGAAGTCCCTAATAAGAAAATTTGTCGAAAGTAGGAAATTATTTTTATAGGTTTTTCTACTTTGCGCCTGACCTAAAGTCCCTGACCACACGAAAACCTGATAGGTATGGCAGTGTGTTTGTCCAGAATGGGAAAGTGTCCTGTCTGGTCCAAAGAAGTTGTTTTTTGTGCTGGTCAGCTTCTTCATCATCCAAGCATAATGAGCAGAGCACTAGGTATCTGTTTGTTTTCCCATAATTCTTCCTTTTTTCTTGAGAGGTTCTGCAAGTCTTTGAGGATTAACGTCTATGAAATGTTTATTTACTTGGGACGAGAGAAGTCATGAATCGGGAAGTTAGGAATTTGTTCTTGAGTCGTTCTATTTACCCTAGGCTAGACAAGCTTCTAGATCCATTTTAATGGGCCAATTCCACATAACATGTGTCGAACTTTCACACATGTAACGAATAGAAAACTTCCCTAATTTCCCAATGTTGAATTTTATCCACTCTAACAACGCCATCTTCAAATCTTTTCCTCTTCTCTAAAATGAATTATGTTAGGTTAAGAGTTCTTACCCCACCACATTCAAATATTTTTCCCAAAAATTAATTAAGTTAAGTTAAGAGTACGATTTCTTTTCATTATTAAAGAAAAATGGTAGTTGAAGTTAAACAAATGCGTTGCCCAAAATTGTGAATTAGGTTAAGGTTGGCGGCTAACTAGCCACACTAGTCTAATAATTCTTTCCATTCTTTCTTTATTTTTTTAATCAAATCAACAACCTTATTAGAATCTCATAAATAGATAACTTTTTAATATGTAATCAAATCTAAGCCACACAAAGGACAAGGTTGGCGGCATTTAGGGCACCTCAAACTCAAAGTCTCTCTAGAAGCTTCAATATTTTTATTATTCAATTCAATAAAAGAGACTTGCCGTTCCTATTAGCCCCAATAGAATAAAAGTTTTTCTTTTGGTTGGATAATTGGCTTACAGCTTAAGATCTAGAGCAAAACAAGAAGGAAGAAATGCTGGACACAAACTAAACGACACAGTAAAGAGAGGCCAACACAATGAAGCCAAATGATTGGATTGCCATCCAATTAGAGGGTGGAATAGGATGGGGTAGCTCTCACTTTTATTTTGTGTCTTTTTTCGGTTTTTGATACAAACCGTATTCTACTTTAATCTATTTTAAATTATGGGGAAGGGAATTCAAACTCGGATGCAGAGTGGGGAGCATATCCCCTCTAGCCAACTTGGTTCAGCCAATGTCTGCTTTTTATTTTGTGTCTTTGTTAGAGTATAGTGTTTCTTTTTTCTTGTGTTTTTTTTGTTCTTCTTAGGTATTTCTTTACAACCTAAAATACATTTTCATACATTAAGCTGCAAAAATGTTACAATATCACTTAAAAGAAAAACAAAAATTAAACTCAAAATGCTATAAACAAAAGAAGAAGAAAAACTCTCAAAAGTACAAATCAACATAATGCAAACAAGAGACAAAACTCAGTTTGGCCAAGGAAAAAAATAGCATTCTTATTCTCAGTTATAGCATCTAAATGAGAGGTCAAATTGCCACGTGAACATGAATTGAAGGTGAAAATTGCTCCAACCAAGTAATCAAATTTTACATAGTTTAGAACACAAGAAAAGTAATGTCAAAATTTAATTTTAAATATTTTTTAAATATTTTTTTCAGCCCTAGACTGCATTATTTTTTTAGATTATTATAAATAAACCCAATCCTAGGCATGTATTTATAAAAAAAACCCACACACTATTTAAACATAGAAACACACCCAAAATCAACAATTGTATATTTTTTGGGTGTGTTTATAAATGGATTTTGAGTGTGTGTAATGATGAGTTTTGGGTGTGTTTATAAAGTGTTTTGGGTGTTGGGTTTTTTTATAATTTCAGCCCCCATTTTGGGTGTTTTAGTGAAACCCCCTTATTTTTTATAGCCCTTGACGTCAAAAATTTTATTGTGTGACGATAGCATCAAAACTCCTACATTGGTGCTATGTGTCAATGATATCCTCGAATTTTTTGATTAACGAGTGCTAATAGAATAACATAAACAAGGAATGAGTATCAGATCAACTAGGAAGGGATAATTTATCTGATTTCCATTTCTTAGGCTATTTGATGAAGGATTTTTAGGTAGGACTCACATATTAAATGATTTTTTATTTGCAAGTAAACTCACGGGAAATCAGGAATGGAAATCATTCATCTTCTTCTCATTCCCATTACTTATAAGTAAACGTGTATAATCGTGCCATAAGAGGGAATGTGAATAATGATCATTTTCAATAGGCTTAATTATACACTATAAAATAATTATTATGCATTACTTCTTTTATTAGAGGATTGAAGAATGATTATTTTGAAGTGACAGTAACATAACCCTTAATTAAGTATTAATTTCTTTTTAGTTGAATGCTGGAGTATAATTACTTATTCAAAACAACATGATATAGTAGCTGTAATTCACTTTAAAAAAAAATAAATTAGAAGTCAAAGCGCGGAAATTTACGAGTCGAACTACCAATTTCAACTGCCTCATTAATTTCCAACTGTTGTGGCGGTAGTCGTCTTCTTCTTCTTCTTCCTCTTCCTCCTCCTTTACAATCATCAGTTTCGGAAATTCTGGTTAGAAGTTTAAGAAATCTTTGGTTCCTTCTCCATCAAAAGCCTTTACTTCATTGTTGGTCTTCTTCTTCTAATTTGTACCCTGTTAATTGTTATGTTCTGCAACCATGCATTCTCAATCACAGATGAAGCCCCACTCAAAGAACCAGCAGCCGGTAACTCTCTCTCTCTCTCTCTCTCTCTCTATATATATATATTGTGTAGGTAGGTGGGCCATTGTGTTGTTTTTTTTGTTAATTTTTGGGGAAAATGAGAGAAATGTGCAGAGGAGTTGGGCTGAAATGTGTTGTTTGGATTGGTCGTGCCTACAGCTCTTCTGGCCCAGAGTCGTCATGCGCAAATGGCTCAACATCTCCGCCAAAGAATCCGATTACAGCGCCGACACCGACGCAGATTCCGACTGTGATGCCGACTCCGATACCCAAGGTCCTTCAATTTCCACATTTCTTTTTTCTGTTTTTTTAAGAAAAAACTGAACTTTCATACTTTGTTCTTTGTGTTTTGAATTGTGATAAATCTGATGATGGTTTTTTTTTTTTTCAATGCGAACTGGGTTTTTGATGTGGTTCGGTTTTGTGAATTTTGTTTATTTATTTTATATTTAATTTATGAGTTAATTGGGACTTTGTTTCATGTTTTAAGGAGTATGCGTTTGGGGTTTTAGCCTGACTGTAAAATGGGTTTTGCAGAGTTTCCTCAACGGGGAAGAGAATCAAGGTTTAAAGACATCAAGGAAGATGAGTCTGAGAGTGATGATGCTAGTGGTAATATTTTGGCCACTTTTGTTTCTTCATTTATTTTACTATATTTCATATCATTTTAACACTGTTTTTTGGCACCTTTTTGAGATACAAATTTACTAATTTTTTTTCCTGAGGCTAAAAGTTTGCTCTGAAGATGAAAGTGAATAATGTGACTTTCATACAGCTTCAAGTCTTCAAGGAGGCACCTAGTTTTCTTATTTTCTTAACTTTTGACCAATTGCTTTTGGATGTTTTGTAACATTATTTAGTCTCAGAGTCAGAGGTCATATGCATTTCCAGTCCTGAACTACTGATTTGAGTATCTTGTGTGTTATATTCTTTATTTTATCCCATGGGATATCCAAATTCCAATATATTGCTTTTTTTTTTTCCAATTAATTTCATGATTATTTTTTTCCTCTTCTCTTTTTGGTTAATCAGAAGCGCTTCCAAGGGTACGAAGACGAAAGTCAGAGACGTTCAGGGCACAGTATATAAACACAAAGGAATTGAGGTTTGATGCTCCTTGTATTTTTGCGATGTCAAAGTAAACACTAGTTAACTAAACATAATTATTGCAAAGGTGGTCATTTATCAGTCTAGCCTTTAATTGCTGATCTTTTCTTTGGGTGTTTTCAGAGTATGTGCTACAACATGGAATGTCGGAGGAGAAATTCCACCTGATGACTTGGATATTGATGGTTGGCTAGATATTAATGAGCCAGCCGACTTTTACGTGATTGGGTAAGTGTTGGATTGGTTCCCCCCTGCCCCAACTCCTCCTCCTCCCCTTTCCTTGATTCACTGATTCTGCATTTAGGGATCTTATGCTGTTTCTATCATGATCTGTTTATTATGTAAATGTTGTTGTTCATTGAAATCAGATCAAATATAAATTAAAAAAATGCTATTGAAAATGCCTTACATCACTTGTGTCGGATTTTATACCTGTCACGTTTGTCCTTTAATTTTTGTACAAGATAAAAGTGAGCATGCTTTCTGATGTAGTACATAAAAATCCCTTGCTTAAACAGAAATCCTAACCCAAATAAAATAGGAAACTTAAAACTAGAAATCTGGAAATCTAGAAATCCTACTAGAACTTGGAAAACTAGAGAATCTAGGAAACTAACAAATACATTAGGAAACTAATAAATTTGGGTCCTATGCGTCCTGCATCACTTTCTTTTGTCCTCTTTAATATCCTCTACCACTTTGATCTATATTGTCTGAATCAGTTTTTCATTTTCAAGAGTTAATCTTAGAAGTACGAAAAATGCTTAATTTTCAGCCTTCAGGAGATTGTACCCTTAAATGCTGGAAATATCTTTGGTGCTGAAGATAGGCGCCCAATCACTAAGTGGGAAAACATTATTCGTGAAGCACTGGATAGAGTTCGACCTATGACAAGTAAGGTTAAATCCTTTAGCGATCCTCCATCTCCATCAAAGTATAAGCCATCTGGTGATGTCCCTGATATAGAAGAGGAGATGTTACTCCAAAGTGATAGTGATGTTGGTGAAGAAGTCCATCCATTGGATGACGAACCCAAAGATTTTGGTGACAGCAACGGTACTTCAATCACTAGTGAAATAGTGAATGTTGATTCTCGAGTTCCAGACTTTAGTGATAGTAGCAAGCCATGCATGCCAATTGGACAGGATTTACAAAGGCAAAGTTCTTCTCCAAAGAGATTAGATAGGTTATATTGCTTGAGGACCACCGATTGTTCATTAGATGAAGAAACTTCTAGTATCCAACAAAATCGAAAGTTAACCAAAATGCTTAGTGGGTCTGAAAGGATTGGTTTGAGCTGGCCGGAGCCTCCATTAAACTTGGTATCTCAGCACTTGTTAGACAGACGAAATTCCTTTCGAACAATGAAGTCTTTCAGAACCTACAATTCTTTCAAGCCAGCTACGAATGACATGACACCAGAAATAGCTCTGCTTGCAGAGATTGATCTTGAGTCTCTAATGAAACGGAAAAGAAGATCATCATATGTAAGGATTGTAAGTAAGCAGATGGTTGGGATTTTCCTCACTGTATGGGTTCGTAGGAGCTTGCGTAAACATATTCAGAACGTAAAGGTGTCTACTGTTGGTGTTGGTGTCATGGGATATATTGGTAACAAGGTTTGTTTCTATGCTACAAGTTTTTTATCTCCATTTTATGTGAATTCTTTTTCCCCATTATGAGTGTTGTTGGTAGATGGCCAACATATTTAATTATTGCTTTTGTTAGTATTTATTTGATAATCTCACAGTTATTTTCTTTCTTTTGTTTTTTTTACTAACATAATCTCACATTTATGTAATGGATCCATTCTTCCACTGATGTGGAATTCTAACTGCAGTATGACTTTCATATGGCTGATAACCGTACTGTACAAGCCATGGGTGAACATTATAGCCCAAGTACATGAGCCATATACAGAAAATTAATTTAAATGGATATTATTCCATATTAGGACCCGTTAGATTCTGGGGTTTGGCAAGTGATCAACACATGAACCTTGTAATTTTTCTTCTTTGTTAAGAGCATTCAACGGATGAACTTTGTAGCTTTGTAACATAAATATGATTTGGTTAACTTTTGTTCTGTCTAGAGACTTGTTCCTCTAATTTAAAAATAATTTGATCGTTATCAACCATTGATGTGTTATTTTTCTTAATTGATTAATTTCTGGATAGAACTCTTGGTTAGGAGATTGCACTTGTTTTGCTTAGATGATTTGCTCGAATAAGTTGAAAGTAGATACTTGTGGTAATAATCCTGTGCTGTGTCCCATTTCCATATGTTCATGCCTTTATATTCAACACTACAATCACCTCCTAAAGTAATTTTATAATAGTAAGAATAATGTTTCTACTCATTTATTTGATATTAAGAATAATGTTTCTACTCATTTATTTGATATCAACTCTTAATTTTCTCAGGGATCTATATCTGTCAGCATGTCAGTGTATCAGACGTTTTTTTGTTTTGTGTGCACTCACCTGACAGCAGGTGAGAAAGATGCAGATGAAATAAAAAGGAATGCTGATGTGCATGAAATACATCGAAGAACTCACTTTCATTCATTTTCTGATACTGGACTTCCCAGAAGTATCTATGATCATGAGTGAGTATTTTGCTGCTACTAAATTACAATACTCTTTTCTTTGGAGCTAATGCTTCTTCTTTTTTTTTTTCTTTTTTATTTGTTGTTGTCTTGATGGAAATTGGAATTATGGTTCATGAATCATCAATTATTTATGTTCGTAAAACTAAGAAATGTTTCCACTTTGCATGATATCAACTGTCATCAGTTTTTGCAGAGAATCTTTTGGAACTCATAAAGAAAGATACGTTGCACTATATTGGCTATTCTAGAATCCAAGTTTTATTCTTAACTTAAAAAACATGGGGAGTTTAACTTAGAGAACTTGTTAAAGTAATCGTCTCATCAGACTCTAGAATGGCAACTAAATATTTATAAGTAGTAATCTCCTAATAAAACTGTTGGATATTGAAACACATTTTTAAAATTAAATGGATAACACATTCGGTTAGCAGGAAGTGTAAGTCAAGAACAGCCTCCGTCTTTGGATAACAGTAACATTATTTGGATGCAATATTCTCCAATTAGTGGTTTTCCTATACCCGAGCATCTCATGTCAGACAAATGATAAAACTACATAAGTTACATATAATTCTGTTATATGGTAAGAGCAAACCTTGGCTTATCCACATTCTAGTTAACTGATGTGAAAAATTGGTTTCAACTATGCTATAACTTTAATTTACTATTGTTTTAAGGACATATTTATCCCTCCTGAAGAAATTACAGTAAAAGTGTATTTCTCTTTCCTGCAGAAGAATAATTTGGTTGGGCGATCTAAATTATCGCCTTAACTTGTCATATGAAAAAACACGAGAACTTATCTCCAAAAAGGAGTGGTCCAAGTTGTTTGAGAACGACCAGGTACATCTTTTACCTCTCTTAAGATAGTTTGTTTTATTGAAATTATTTTTGTTGATTGATATACTTGTCTGTCTAGTAGCATTCTATGCATCTGTGTTCTTCTCCTGGCTTATCATTGGATTGGAAAATCGAAAAACTGAAGCCAATAGCTTGAGTGTTGTAAATCAAATTACCCTAATGTGCATGACTGATTGTTCAGCCATTCCATTAATGGAGTTGTGTGTTTTAGTGCACGACATCTATGCTTATAAAAATTATAATATGACTCGAGTGCAAATTAGGGACGGGACATTTTGGTGAGATTGAGCCAATGGAATTTTCTTAATTGATTGAATTTTAGCTTTTCAGTGAAGTTAACCAGGATTTCAAACATAACTATTAAGCACATTGACATTTATTCTGACAGCTTGCCCGACAACTTAAGAAAGGTCGTCCATTTGATGGATGGTCTGAGGGTGTTCTGAAGTTTCCACCAACATATAAATATGAGGCTAATTCAGAGAAGTACTACGGTGATGATCTGAAGACTGGGAGGCGGACTCCAGCATGGTAGGCCTGCGTTGATCTCCATATCTGTATGTTTATTTTTTTGGCTTACTTTTTACATAATAATACAGGTGTTCTGTTTCAATTAATGCTTTGCGAAACTGCGTGTCCACCATTTTCCTTTTCAGGCTGATTTTGGAATTTTTTTGGGTATAATTTTGCAGTAATCTTAATTTAGGTTTTACAATGTTTACTAAACTAATACAAATGCATGATAGCTTGTTATATTGTAACATGTCATAAAAGATTTATTGGTTCCTTCCATCTATCTGGTCATCATTAGTATGTACCACTAAACAGCTGTTCCAGTGTGTACACTATAGAAGACATCTTTTGATATTGAATGCCTTTTTGAGTTCCCTGACGTTGTATGCTCATAGATTAAACAATGCGCTATGGATCTGTTTTTTTTCCTTTGTAGTTTTGCGATTACCACCACATAACACCTTCATTTTTTTGGCGTTCCCTGTCAATGTCGCTTTATGATTCTACTAATTATTTTAACTGTTACAATAATAGTTAAAGATCTTAAAAGTTTTGGTTTGTTTTGAGATTTTGACTTATGGGTGGTAGGTTTCGTGTTGAATAACTTGTCTTTTAAAATATGGTTACCAACGGCCCTTAGCAAATATACATGTGTATTGGTGATTCCTCACTTTGGTTATCAACGGCCCTTAGCAAATATACATATGTATTGGTGATTCCTCACTTTGGTTATCAACGGCCCTTAGCAAATATACATATGTATTGGTGATTCCTCACATGCATTCTTCTAGTACTCGAGAGACTTAATCTGAGAAATCGTAACATGATTCATTACTCGGTAACATTACAGTGATGTTAGATATACTTTTAATGAATTTTTGAAATTTTTTCTTTCGTATTTTAATGAGTGTTTGAATTCTTTTTCCATGTACATTGTGTTTCTTCTATTTTGATTTGTCTATCAATTCCTTGAACAAAATTTTACCCTAGTGTGCCTCCATTTCTCAGGTGTGACCGCATTCTTTCTTATGGCCGAGGAATGAGGTTACTGAGCTATAGAAGGGCTGAACTTAAACTTTCTGATCATCGACCAGTGACTGCCACATATATGGCTGAGGTTGAGGTGTTCTCTTCTAGGAAGCTTCAACGGGCCCTCACATTCACTGATGCAGAGATTGAAAATGAGGAAATCGCAATGGATATGGGTATTGATGTTGGAATGAACTGCTTAAAATTGGAACAAGTGAGTACTTTGCTGCTAGGCATGTGATGTGATTTATACCTATCTGGTTGGTTTTCTGAATTCTACTATTACTAGGTAAAACTAATAGAATAGTTAGAGTTGTTGATCCTAGTACCTAACCAACTTGCTTTTTCCTGGGTTTGAGTTTATGTATGTGTTTTCTTCTGTTATACGACTTTGTTTCATGAATACCTTAAAAGGTTTGGTCTTCTATTCCTGAACTTGCTTCCCCGCGCAGGATATTTCTGATTGGGAGCGTTGATGGATGCTAATGCACTCCAGGTGGGAGTTCCAACAACTTGTGAAATTTTTTTCTTCGAAATTTGCGAGTTACCTTCATTCTTTGCCATGATTAATTTGTCAACAACACTCAACAGTGATGTATGTTGCATTTAGAGTGTAAATGTTATAGCGGTTCTTGGCCATTGGTCTCTTGAGCATATTAGTTGAGTCATAGAGCATACAGGTTGTACAGTAAGTTGGATTTATACACGTGTATCAATGTGTGTTGTAATTTGTATGATCAACCTTCATGAGAGAAGCTTTCTTAAGCTGTATAGAAATAATACATCTCAATACAAATTTTTAATGCAATCTTTTTAGATGGTGTTCCATGCTCAGATCACATCTATGTTCTTTGTACTTAATGTCTTTCATTTCTTTTATCTTTTTCATTGGCCACTAAACAATGATTTGAGAAGATGAAAAGCAAAATTCAAAGACAGATTAGCAGACATTCTTGACGCAGTTCAATTATCTCCTTGGTGATGGAGCGAATCTACTGAGATGAATTCTTGGGAATCCTAAATATGGAACATTGACAATGACAGACTGAGTCATCAACCATGGTGTACTAGGGCTTCGCAACTGAACCAACCCGCTCCAAGGGGGACTCACCGACCTCCCCGCTCCAACGGGGACTCACCGACCACCGAACCTACATTGCCAGTGTTTGAGTTTTCGGCGGCCAGGTGTAGCATCAAATAATCTCTTTTGAGCCCCAATCTCTTTCATAGGACCCTAGCAAGATTATATATTGCATGATCTTAGGCTAACATAATAAAAGATTAATATTAATATTGAGTACCCTTTTCAAAATTACGATGACTCGAAGTGGTCAATTTAAAGTCCGAAAAGTAAATACGGAAACAAAGATATATATATATTCAGACAAAAAAAAAAGACAGATATATATTGCAGCTTGTGGCGCACTATTGTCCACATAGTATTGGGGAAATACTTCATTGGTGTATTTCCTTTTGGTTATGGCATAAAAAGATCATAACGCTATCGTATTTTTGACAAACTTAAGTTTGGATACGGATCAGTTTGGTTCAGAAGAGAGTTCAACTCATTTTTTATAGGTCAAAATTTATATGATTAATCAATATTGTAAGGGAGCCGATTTCCCTACTCTCTTTTTTCTCCACTTACACTCCCTTTTGCTTTTTAATACTTTTTAATTAATTTTTTTCTTTTTCTTTCCTATTCTATCCTCACCCTACATTAATTTCTTTTTTACTTCACTTTTATATTATTTCTTTTTCTTTATACTTAATTTTCCAACTTACACTCCATTTGCAGTATTAAAGGGAAAAAAAAAAACTTAATTTCTTACTCGATTAAAGGAAAAAAAATACTGAAAATGGAGTGCAAGTTGGAAAATTAATTATAAAGAAAAAAACCTAATATAAAAGCGAAGTAAAAAGAAATTAATGTAGAATAAGGGTAGAATGGGAAAGAGAAAGAACAAAATTGATTAAAAAGTATTAAAAAGCAAAAGGGAGTGTAAATGGAGAAAAGGAGAGTGGGGAAATCATATCCTTATTTTAAACACGAATTAATTATGAGTCGGTGTACTAAACTTTCAATTCAATTTGATTAGGTATGGAACTGTTAGAGCATGTCTAATGGGACTTATCTAACCTGGGCTAGGTTGTGACACCCCGACCCAATTTTAATTATTTGTTTAAATTATTTAATTATGAAATTACAATTTTGCCCTTGGGATAGGGTCATTTTGGTAACTTTTTAATCTGATAGGATTTTGGGGAATTGACTGGCACTGTTGCGTAGAGCGCATCGATACGAGTTCGTAGACATGTAGTGGGCTCAAATCAGAGTTTTAACGAAGAAGTTACGATCAACGAAAGTGCAGTAGCACAACCATAAATATTTCGAAATTGAATTTTTTAAAAACCACCAGATTCCTTTCTCTCTCTCTCTCTCTCTCTCTCTCCCCCCGACCTCAGCTCCCTCTCTCGTGCAATAGCTCCAGCCGACCATTCTTTGGCCGGCAGTTTTCTCGTCCAGCCACCCCCGACCACAAGATCGGTACCAAAGTGACCAGCATTGACCGAGCGTCTTCCGAGGTTACTCCACCATTCGAAACACGTAGTTGGACCTTAGGAACTTCTCGTTCGTCGTACACACACAACTTGAATCCCGAGAAAACTAGGAGTTTATTTTAAAGTTCTTGTCTAAAGTATTTTATTTTAGAGTGGTGATTTCCCCACTCCAATTTTATCCACTTACACTCCATTTTATAACGAAAAAAGGAGTGTAAGTGGATAAAATTGAAGTGGGGAAATCATTACCCTTATTTTATCTAGTCTCCGTATTCTTCAATAGGTACTCCGGTTCAACGTACTTAACAGGCGGGACCCTCTCACAGTCAAGAAGCTTTGGATTATCTGTGAGTGGACCTTGTTTTTGAATAATAATCATTATTTTCAAGACCCAAAACTATGCATAATGAGTTATATGATTATTGAGCTTATTATATATTTAATGTGGAAATATGATATTGTTATAAAAGTATTGGAAGTATATTTGGATATTTGTAGATATACATTATTGATATACACTATTTTAGAGAATTACTATCTATACTTGGATATGTGTTGGGTACATGGGATTGTTGGAAAGGGATAATGGGATGTGAGTGAGTTGTGGATACTTGGAATTTTGGGATACTTGGATGTGTTTGAACCTAGGCTCCCTTAACAGGGTGTTTCATAGACCCTTAGCGGGGTTAGTCTGCGTGCATTGGACTTGTCACAGGCGTACGAGTATTGAGAATTTTGATGTGTGTGTTGGTGAGCCCAGTCACCCGGTTGGACGGTTCGTTCCCTAGCCACATGGTCAATTGAGGATTCTTCTATGTGGTCTAGTCAAACAATCCCCCGGTTAGATTGTTTCCCCAGTACAAGTTGGTTGTGGTCATATATATATATATATACACCTATACATATATCTTTGTTCTTATTTATCGGTGCAGATCCTTCCTCACTCGTGGTGCCAACGAGCACACGTTTTTGGGTGATAGTTGTTTAAGAAAAAGGGAAGGGTGTTGAGTGAGTCTGAGTATTAGTAAATTATTATGGGATATAGATTTCAAATTAGTTTTAACGAATTATATACGAGCATATCGGGTTTCAATTGCATGTTTTCTGCATCGTTTTCCAAATGGTGGGGTTAGTATCTTGTTTTCAAATATAATAAAACTGTGTTTTTGTCCACTCACAAGTTTCCTATTTTGCACCCCTCAGGCAGTAGTTGACTTGAGCTGAGCGGCCAAGCTGAGCCTTGAACTTCCGAGCCCTGAAACTTCAGTAGGGCAACCTTTGTTCATTTCTTTTCCATTAAACGTTGTTTTCGTTTGTAAACTAAATTTTTTTAGATATGCTTTGTTATCGCCCATGTTAGGGTTGAATGCAAGGCCGAATGCCTATTATGTAAATTGTGTGTTACTACATTGTGCATGTTGCTGGATGGGATTTATTATTGTGTTTTGATAGGTTAAATTTTTTGGGAAATGTCTGTTTTTCAGGGGAGACTTTGCCGAAATTTTGGCAAAAAGTCTCGTTACTCTTTTCCTTGTTTTGGAGAAGAGGATGTTGTTAGTAAGTGGGTCCAACATCAGTTTTATGTCGAAAATACCACATGATTCGTCACGGTTTTTGAGGAATTTGGGGTGGGTCCTGTCATAGGTCCAAATTTGTCCTCAAATGAAAAAAAAAAAACAAAAAAAAAATTTATAATGCATGTGTTTGGTTTAGTCCAATTTGCCCTAAAGCAAGATAAGGGGCTGGTTTTGCTAAAGTGCTGGCCTGGGCAAAAAGGGGCCCACGATCAGCTTTTGAAAAATAGGAAGGCAACAAAAGTTGCCTTTCCAAATGCAATGGCTTATGAGGATCTGCCACGTGGCCTTCAATGACAATTGCCTAATGACTAGTTGCTGGGCTTTTTAGTTTTTATTTATTTATTTTATTTTATTTATTTTTTTTCAGTTTTCAACGGCTAGTGAGCCTTTTTTTTAATACCTTTTTTTGCATTTTCTATTTTATTTACTCCTTTATATATATATACACACCAAACCTTTTTAGTTGTTTACCTTTTTAACATTTCTACATACAAACCTCAATATGTAGGCTTTCATCTTCATCTTCATCTTCTTCTCAATAAACTCATCTCTATACTTCAAAATCCAACACTTGGATATCTTTTCTTATCATTTCACAATGAAGATATTGTTCAAGAAGATGAACTGAGATCATGAAGAAGATGATGAGAGTAGATGTCAGAAAACGCTCTTATCTTTGGCACCATAGCAGAATTTCAAAGCTCCTCCTCCAATCCGCCTATCGAACTAGGTTCTCACAATGGTCGGGAATGCATCAACCAGTATACTCATCCACTGGAGCTTTAAGAGGTCACAAAAAAAACCCACTGTAATTCTAGAGGCTGTTGCCTCATTCGACACTTGAATCTGGCATGCCTATTTTGGAATTCCTAGGTCCCAAAATGATATCAACGTGCTCGAACAATCATCGGTGTTCAATGAACTCAAGGTAGGTCGAGCACCTCAGGTGGTGTACAATGTCAACAGACATGACTACAACATGGGCTACTATTTGGCAGACGATATTTATCCAAAGTGGGGTACTTTTCTGAAAATGTTTCCAAAGCCCAATAATGAGAGGAAAAAAATGTTCTTCAAGTACCAAGAGGCATACCGTAAAGACGTTGAACGATGTTTTGGTATACTGCAAGCTCGATTTGGCATCATTCGGGGGGCTGCTTGAATGTGGAATAGGGCTACCCTTCGAACCATCATGATAGCTTGCGTAATCATGCACAACATGATTGTGGAGGATGAGCATGCCGAAGACAAAGAAAATTTAGATGTATAAGAAGTTGACCCAATGAACCCAAGGAAAGCAAGAATATATGAGCGACCAAGTGATGAAGAATTCAAGCCAGTGGATAGAGACGTACAAAATCTTGGGGGCTATATGGATTGTTTTTCACAAATTAGGTTTGATTATGTTCATGATAGTCTTTGAAATGATCTAGTTGAACATGTGTACTAGAGGCACGAATATATGTTGTCTTAGTAACTACAAAATTAAATGAAAATGAAAAAAAGTGTTAGTCTTTTTTCATTTTGCTCAAAATTGTTTCCAAAAATAAATTTTTGTGTTGCTTTTCTTATGCTTTGATTTGTATTGCAAATAAAATAATAATAAACTAAAATAACAAGTTTTGAGTTTTAGTCCTTAGCCCATCACCACGACTAGAACTAGGCGTGGGCACGGTCCGGTTTGGTCCGGTTTCACCCTCAAATCACAGCTGAACCAATTAAACTTTCATGGTCCGGTGTGGTTCGGTTTGAGCTAAAATCAAAACGAAAACCAAACCAAACCAAACCATTCATATCCGGTTTGGTGCGGTTTGGTTCGGCCGGTTTAGGCATAAAAGAAAACATGCTTACAATAACACAAAACCTGTTGAGATATTCCATCAAATAATCCTAAAACTGAACTTGCTCCGAACAAACATAAACATTTTCATCAAAGTTCATCCAAAATTCCAGCAACAAACTTCAACATACAATCCCATATTTTCATACAAATACAAACAAATTTCAATACCCAATTGATTAATACAATTGGAAATTACATACCAACTAGTCAGCTACAACATTCATTCTGATTTATCAAATTAATGCAAAGAACAAAAAGCCAAACAAACACATTTCTTCTTATTCTTCTGCAAGGCATTTCTGAGAGAACCATTAACCATATACTCTGTCACTGTTGGCACAGAACCTCCAGGCCCATCAAGCACAACACCATAGAAGCTACCACAAAGAGGTGGTGCAAATGTATTCTTGGACTTCCTTTGGACTCATCCTCATCTTCCTGTGGAAACGAGAATTACATAGTCAGGGCTCGGAAAACTTCTTGTAAAGTCTAAATCTAACATGATCTAGTTCAATAGATGTGAACAAAAAATATATTCATCTATATTAGTTATGCAAACTCACAACCTGATGTTTTCCAATAAATAATAAAATGCCTCCATATTATTCCAAACTGAATGACAAATATAGGAACACCAAAGCCAATCAGTGATCCTAAATATAAACTGAACTAAAATTTTCATGTATCTAAAAGTTCTAATCATTAGTATTGAATTTCAGTTCTAAGTGCAAAATTCAATCAAAGCAAAATCGGAAAAAAAAATAAAAAGTTCCCACAATAAAAAACTCCAAGAGTAGAACTCCCTGAACAAGCACATAGAGCTCCAGAACATAAAAAAATCCAGGAAAACCCATATACTAAGCTCAAGACAGACATACAACATGAATTGGGTTTGAACACAATGAACAGAATACTAATTACCAGAACTTAAAGAAACACCAGACCAATTACATCATAAAACAAAAACCAATAAACAAAATAACCCATAAAGCATTTCAAGACAGAACCAAAAAGAATAAAGAATAAATAGACAGAAAAAACTTACAGCATGAGGAGGAGGAGGAGATGTTTTGGAAGGTTTGTCAGAAATGGGATTGAGCAAGACAGTGGTGAGATTAGATACAGAATACTAAGCTCAAGACAGACATGAAGTGGTATGAGCTATTTTCTCCAAGCCCCATTGAGCATGAGCAAGACTTTCTGGCGGCTGCTTGACAACGTTGGGGTTTTTTTTCAGATTAGGTTTGAGTTTTAGTTGTAGAGAAGAGGAGAGAGGCTTCGAATGTGAGTGTAGTGGAGGGTTTTCTTGGTTTTGTTCTGTTTTGGGGTCCAATTAGGTGTGAAAGGGTATATAATATGACTTTCTACTAACCAATTGTTGTTTGACACATGTATATTAAATAAAATTAATATTAAATGGAGTTATATCGGTTCGGTTCGGTTTAGGACAGTTTCAAAAACACTCAAACCGCAGTCGAACCAAACCAATCCGGTTCGGATCGATTTTTCAAACTGTTGACTTTTTCTTTGGTCAAAACCAAACCAAACCAAACCAATATAATCGGTTCAGCCGGTGTAACCGGATCGGCCGGATTAATGCCCACCCCTAACTAGAACCACAAAAAATTTGAGAGGCTAGATTTTGTGAATAGTACTATTTTGAGGGGCTAAAACAAAACCTAGCCCCTTGCCCCTTGCCCTTGCATTAGACATGCTCTTACTGGTTGTGATCAAATGTGTACCCTAAGCCAGCTTTGTTTCTTGGTTCAACTAATAATATTACTTTTTATATATATATATAAACGATATTCTACTTTAATCTAATCTAAATTACGGAAAGAAGGGGATTTTGAACTCGGATGCATAGTAAAAAACATACTAAAATTTGGACATGTAAGAGGAACTCCAGCGATAAGCCCAGCCTCTGTCTGGGGAAGGGGGGGGGGGGGAATCCAGTTCCAGCGAGGAGCCCAAGCCCGGGCTAGGAGTGGGACCCATGAAGACGGGCTGGCCCGAAGGCAAGTCTCGCCCAACCTGCAGCCTGAGGGGGAGGTGACGTCATGCGCCACATGGCGTCTTCTGGTGCTCCAATGGGTTTTTTTTTTCAAATCCAACGGCTGAGCTTTTTTTGGGCAAAAAAAATGTGAAAAAAATTCGAATAATTTTTAAAAATTCACCAAAAAGTTCTAAACTATTTTTCTATAAATACCTACCATTCTTCTTCATTTTCAACACAAAATCCTCCTATAATTTCTTCTCCTTCTATTATTTTTCATTTTCTACACAAAATTTTCAACACATTCAATACATCAAACAAAATATAATTAAAAGAAATCTTATTCGAAATATTCTCAAAGTTAATTCTTTATGTTTAAAAAAAAAAAAATCTTATCCAAAATATTATCCAAATTAATTATTGAGGTAAAAAAATTTGTGAAAAAAATAAAAAAAGGAATAGTAATTGCCCTTTGCCATGACAACGGGTGGAAACACACAATGCTTTTTGCAAGGGCAACCACTATTCATGTGAATAGTGGCTGCCCTAGCCCCCCTCTTGCCATGACAAAAGGCAAATGGGTGGAGTTGCTCTAACACTCTTTCACAAGCACAATATCAACCAAAAAAAGATATGTATAAATATCAAACTCCTTTCGCAACATCCGCCAACCTATGTCTTTTACTAATAACGCTACTTTATATGGTTTGATATTAGAGGCAGCATTTGCTGCTACGTGGCATAACGTCAGACCTTTAAATTAAACTGCAACTTTAATTCGTACACGAGATGCGCACATGGGCGGCAATTTGACCAAAAAATAAAGTAAATTCCTCTAAAACCCCATGGAAGAGTTTCCGCCCAAAAAGACGCAAAAACTGCAGAAGACTTCAGTGTCCGTCAGACTTGAACTTCACTTATCCGTTGGAGCTCTTACAATGTTTCTTCTCAAGGTACTCCGTTGATGAGTTCTATTTTCCTTCAATCTGTATTTTTTTTATAAAAACAATTCTATTTAGTCTTGTGTTTTTAATTGTGACCTTTTTCCTTTAAATTTTGAACTTTTTTTTCTCTCTTACAGGCATGGAGACAAACAGCTTTTGGGATTTATGGGTACCTGAATTTCACCAAGTCTGGTTTCATGTAAGCTCCAATTCCTATATTTTTAATTGGGATCATATTGATCCCAGTAAAGATTATAGCTATTCAGTAAAAATTGCTCATTTACTTTGTTGAATAGCAAAGCATATAAAGTTTTCCATGTTAGATGCTAAATTTAATTTCTCATTTTATGAAATAAAATCCCCACTGTCATTAGAGATCTAGGTGAAAACTTTAACTTCATGGCAATAGTCTATTTTACACTCTTTACAATGTAAATTGAAGTATATTCATTGTAGAGAACATTCAAAGAAATTCCAGCCAGAGGATACGCAAACTCGGATAGAAGGGAAAAATTGCATTGTAACAGGAGCCAATTCTGGCATTGGTTTTGCGACTGCCGAGGGACTTGCGTCACGGTGCTTTTTCCTGCTTTATTTGTTGGCTAGTTGCTAATATATTTTGACTTCAGGTGTTAGAAATATACCTTGAGGAACTAATTCATTGCTTTTGTTTTCCTTTATATAATGTTTTTCAGTGGGGCAAATGTGTATATGGTATGTCGAAATAAGGAGAGGGGTGAAGCTGCACAATCTAAAATTCAGTCTGACACCGGAAACCAAAATGTTCATTTGGAGGTATATATGGCATCCTTTTTATTGTCTTACTTATTTGTCAGGGTTCCTTTCAAGTGTTTTATGGTTAGTCGGATGTTACATTTTAGCAAATTATGTGGTTAACTAGTAAACACAGTATGTAAATTTTTTTGTTTTGATCATAAATGGCTTAATATGATTTTAGTTTGCAGGTCTGTGATCTTTCATCTGTTAGTGATATCAAGTCATTTGCGTCGCAGTTTTCCTCAAAGAATGTTCCAGTGCACATATTGGTAATTTATCCATTCTAATCTGCTAGTAACATGATATTGCAGTTAAATGTACGAGGCTCTTGTTAGTTTTATAACCAGTCATCTAAACTTTATATATATGTACACATTGGTTTCTTCTCCTTTCTCTTTTAATGTATTTCTGGTTTTTTGGGATTATGAATTAAAGTAATTACATTAGTTTGCAATTTGGTTACTTGCTTGTGATGTAGCTTTCTGCGTGATTTTGAGAAACCTAATTGTGCATACTCCACTGCCTTTAGGTGAATAATGCTGGTCTGCTTGAGCATAATAGAATTACCACATCAGAAGGGTGCGACCTTGATTACTCTATATACAGCTTAGTTTTAGACATTCGGTTTCTAAAATGTAATTTGTTTTTTCTTTTTTGTCATTTCAAATTCCAGGTTTGAGTTGAACTTTGCTGTTAATGTATTAGGCACCTATGCAATGACGGAATTGATGTTGCCATTGCTGGAGAAAGCTGCACCTGATGCACGGGTTATTACTGTTTCTTCTGGTGGAATGTACACCTCACCCTTGACCATGGATTTACAGGTATCTGCTTCTATAAAATTCTGTTAGCAATGTAATTCTATCTATTTGATACTTATCAAATTCCAAAATATGTCTTAATGCAGTTTAGTGAAGAAAACTTTAATGGGGTGCAGCAGTATTCTCGGAACAAGAGAGTTCAGGTTTGATGATCTGTAAGAGACATAATATGTTTGCATTCTTGTTGTGAACGTTTATCCTTTTTATGTTATGCTTCACCAAATGTCAAGAAGGATGAACTTAATATTGTGATACAATTATACCTACTGTGAATTTAAGGGGAGCAAAACTAAGCATTCAAGAAAGTAAGTTGTAGAAAATGCTTTTTGCACACAACTTTCTGATATGTCATATGCAATGATGTAGAATGCAGTGTGTTCTAAACTTAAGGCTTGAGTTTTTCTTCCATCATATGAACACAGTTGAAAATATAATACTAGTGCTTGGTTTTGGTAGCTATGATATTGGTTGGAGTTGGTAGTTCTGTAGTTCAAGAGATTGAATGGAATCCCTGGTATTTGCCATGAAACATGATAAGTAAACTGTCAGTTCTTATATATGACAATATTTGAAGGGAAAATATACCAAGCACAAGTCATATTTACATTTAGGGAGACAATGTTTAGGCTTTTAGAGGTCATAGCAATATAATTTCTTGTGGTTCCTCCTAAGAACTTTTAATGCGAGGAATTTCACAACATCCAATAAGGTTAATTGCTCCTTAAAAAAACTAGAAATGGAAATTTATTGAAGAAATTGAAGTGAAATACAACCATTCTCAAGCAACACATCCTGAATGATACATTGCTCCTATTCTTATAAATTGCTTCTTTTTTATTTTTATTTTATTTTATTTTATTTTATTTTATTTTTCTAATCTTATAAATGAATATATGACTCTGTATAAGAAACTAATAAGGAATTAATTTTTTTCTTGGTCTGAAAGGAGTGACTAGTATGGAAACTTTGATGTTAAATTATGTAAAATAAGGAGGAGCTAATCTGCACCCCTAGATCCATGACTAAAAACACTCTTGCGGCCAAGATTAAAACATTTGAACTTTGAGTGGTATAATCTTGCCTATAGAAAGATATCTAATAGTTTAGGATTAGCTACTTTTTCAGTTCCTTATTTTAGTTTCTTACTGGACCTATGAATAATACATGCCAAATGATATTCCTTAAATTTGTTTTTCTTGATATTCCTGGCTCAAATCCAGGATGGATGAGCCTCTTTGTTTTGATGTATTTAGCCTATCACAGATGATTTTCTTAATACTTAGAAATACCATATGATAGTATCGGTTCTGTTTTGATCCCCATAATTTTCAACATAAGTTCTGTTTTTTTTTCAGCTACTTTCCGGAGCTAACATTGTTATTTTTCAGGTGGCATTAACTGAGAAATGGGCTGAAATAAACAAAAACAAGGGGATTGGATTCTATTCAATGCACCCAGGTTGGGCTGAGACACCAGGGGTTGCCACGAGTTTGCCAAGTTTCTCTAAAGCGTACGGAACTTATCCTTAACCTTCTAAATTCTTCCATATGTTCATCATATCTGCCATCTCGTTCTTTTTCCTTTATTCTACTCTTATTTCTCACTCTTAAATTTGTTTTAGTCTTTCGGGAAAGCTTAGAACAAACGAGGAAGGTGCAGACACCATAATTTGGTTGGCTTTACAGCCAAAAGAAAAGCTAGCATCAGGATCGTTTTATTTCGAC